AGAGCAAGAGCGAGAGCGAGAGAGAGAGAGAGGGAAAAAACGAGAGGGGAACCGAATGGCATCACAATGTGTTGTGCAAGCAGCACATATGTTGCAAGCAGATAAGCATAGCACCTCTGCGATCACTTTCCAGGGGCCTCCGAGATCGTTGTGCTTTCGTGACAGCTTGTAACGGCATTGGCGGTTACAGTGTTCACAGCACAGTACAAGGGACGAGAGGGTTTCAGGTCCCAACACTCCAGGCAGTCCCTGTTCTCAAGATGCTTGCAAACTGTTTGGCTCGAGCTTGCTATCGATGTACACAGAAAGAGGGGTCGCTGCGTTGTCCTGTCACTCTGATGCTTGAACTCTGCACATGATGAAACCAAATGGCAGTACGGTTCACGTGAGCCGCAGCAGTTCTTGCACCGTTCTTGTGAAGATTCATGGCAGCGCATCTTCCTGGACCTTGATGCCGACTGATTGCTAGTCTTCATACTGCGGGGTTGGACCCGGTCTCATCGACTCTGCGAGTTTGTGGGAACGGAAAGCCCAAGAGCTGCCCAAATGCAGAAAAGGCTGGGAGGGGGGACAACATTGGTAGGGAAAAGACCTCCATCGAACCTTTTCTCACCACATGAGCTCACGCATCAGACACTTTGCCTTCCGGCAGGGCATCTGTGATCCAATGGCGTTGGCACAGCAGGCTCTGCGAACGGCCGACAAGCCCAGGGCACTAGCCTGTGAAACGACAGCAGCCCTCAAAGGCTCGTCTTGGATGTCCACCTGCTCTTCTGTCAGACTGCGTGGCTCCATTCCTGTCTCTCTCAGCTGTTGATCGACGGTCTCGATGTCCACGGTCTTCGATTGCCGCAGCCGTCGATAAATCTTCCTCGAAACGCGCAAGGAGCCAACCACCACACCTTCGGTTTAGCAATATCGAGCCGTCAGGTCTACTTTGGGACTCCCAGCATCCTTCCAAGCTTGAAGACTGCGTCATCTGTTTCTTGGCTACTTTGCTGCGTAGACGGCTGCTTCGTCTTTTGTGGGGGCTGGCTTTTCTACGAGTAGTTGCTGTTGCCGCTCTGTTGCTCTGAAGGGCTGCCCGCTAGCCTAGCAACTTAGCAATGCTCACAAAGTCGGGAGGAACGCTTCCAAAGACACTCACCATGCCTTCAGCGCCACAGGCTTTCGCAGCATGCAGAACTTCTGAAAAGTCTTCACAACTTCCAGGCAGCAGAGGGCGCATGAAGACAAACACAGAAAGGCCAGCAGCCGAAAGTGCGCGAATAGTGTCCAATCTCGTCTGAATCGAAGGTGCGTTTGGCTCCAGATCCTGGACATGTCTGATGGTAGTGATCGTCACCAGCGCGTTTATCGGACACTGAAAGGTCTCAGACCACTGTCGCAGCTGCTCGCAGACAGGTCGGCCGATGCCCGATTTTGTTGAAAACTGGATTGGGCTGCCGAGTGGAGCAGCAGCTCGAATGTACTCCATGGTTCGCACTTCTAGGTTTGGATGGAAGGGATCACAAACGTCGCCCAAGATGATGAAATCTCGGGACGGAATCCAATTCGGGTTGGACAGCAAGGACAGTAGAACCTCTTGCCCTGACATCTGAGTCGGGGTGGGTTCAATGAAGGGGTACCAGTCCTGAATGTAGCAGTAACGGCAGGCATAGCTGCAACTGTGCCCACTGATAATCTGCACCCCACAGGCGATAGGCTGTCTTCTGGCATGTTGGTCGCGGCGAGCTTTCCGGACAGAGTGTGGTCCCAACTCAGATTCGAGGAACTGTACGAGCTGCGACACCTCCGTGGGAGAGTAAGCTGCCAAGTCGTCGGAGTGCTCTCCGCCCACAACTGCCGGCCAAGCTGAGGCTCCTGAGACGCATGACGCTGACATTGCCGCTCCCGTCGCAATCTCTATCTCCGACTGGCTTCTGTACGCTGTACCTACACGTTGCAACATGGAAGGATCCACGAGCGGCAATCGGCTGCGCAGCTTCGGCGGAGGAAGCAAGCGCCGTTGCTCGTTTGGTTGCTCCCTCGATGGCTGTACGATGGTCTCGTTTTCTCTGAGGCCATCGGCAGCAGCTGGCTCAACAGGACTCTCTTCATAACGGACGCTTATTCTGTGTCGACCCCATCGACGCATCTGAAGCTACTGCAAGGTGCGTCTTGAGCGAAAACGTCTCGAGGAGATTCTAGGGACGCTGCCGACATCACTCAGCAGGTTTCCTTGCAGAAATCCGTGTGCCTCCAAGTAGCTCTGAGAGCGTCGAATTGCTGGAGCTCACGCCTGCAGCAGCTCCGGGGAGTCTCTGGCAGACTTGAGAAAATAGGTCCCCTTCTCAGGGTTTAGGGTTTAGGGTTACAATCCGATGAAGTGCCATGTGACACATTCGGAAAGTGTGTACATTCCATCCCCTGCGGTCTAGGAGGTTCGGAAGCCCCGGACGCCGTGGGTCTCGACTCGACTTCAATCCTAGCCCCTGGCCTAGCGGGCAGCTCAGCATCCGCCTGCCGTGAAGTCCAAGAAGTACCTCTGAGTCCACAATGGGTTCTCGAGTCTCGATAGGCGATATGTCTGAGGGAGGGGGGGGGGGGGGGCACAAGGAAGCATTCCGAGTCATGGCAGCGCAGCGTCATGCCCCTGACACCTTCGGCAAGGAAGTCCGGAGCCTCTGCAGAAGCATGTTGGCGACCTATTTTTGTCTGCGACTACATATCTGGTCAGCACATGGGGCGCATGCACTCTTGCCCCTGCCTGGAGCAAGCACTGCTCCGCCACTGGTTGCCACGATGGCTGGCATTGTCAGGGCTCACGCAAGCAACCGCATGCACAAGGCTATCTGCCGCTACTTGACACAGCACTGACTGACTCAGTACCTCGCAAAATTAAAAAGAAGGCACTTGACAAGGACCATCCCTTGGCAGTGATTGGGATGTATTGGTACTGCCTTGCTTCTGAGCCGCGTACTTGTGAGCCATAAACCGCGCTGTGTCCTGTCGCTGCACGCACTATCTGTCTGCGTTCACCGGTAACACTCAGGATCTGTGCAAATTGCAACGGGTCTGCCGGCAAGTCATTGATGGATGAATCTTTATGATAATCGCTCCTCCAGAGAGCGTAAGGCTGTGGATGGCGTGCCGCTCAGCCAACAACAGCCTTCATGAAAGCAGAAGCGGCTATGCCACGAGGTTACATCAGGATGCAACTTCTCGAAACAGCACAATTTGAAGTGATGTTTGTCTGCTTCCGCAGTAGGGTGGAGGCCAGGGCCAAGGGCCTACTCAGAGAACCCAATGCCCCTTAATTAAGGAATATACCTTATAAATTAAAAGGACCTTCATATTATGATTTAAGGTACTCTGGGTACTCTTGCATACTAGGAATCTCACTTCCGAGCACCACCCGCTGCCCACCTCAAGTTACCATCTTCGTGGGCTTGACAGGTGATGGCCTGCGCTGTCTCTCTTGGCAAACGCAGATTCGCAAGGCAACTCGCCGTCTCTAGAACGTCTGAATCCAAACGCGTGCCTGGGGCTTGAAGTGTGGGTGCGGCCAAGTCTGGTGAAGTAGCTCAATCTCGACATGGCTGGGCATGGCCTCAAGCTGCAACCATGATTTAAAACCCGTCTGCAAATGGGCGGCAGCTTGAATTCAGATAGCAAGGCCAACACGGCATTCATCAATTATACAGCTTTGCCGCTGAACAGGTCCCGCGCCCAGCGCGACACGAAGTTAGCCAGCGACGATTCTGCTGCTGGCCTAAAATCTGATGAAGCCAACACTGCCCATATGAACTCTCACATTGATGCATCCACGGGACTTGTATTTGTAAAGGCAAGCCCATCATGGAGAACGTAGGCCAGGCCCCCGACTTGATAGTGATGTCGATGTTAAAGAAGACATGGAAGATGGACCTTCTCCAAAAGAAGCTTTTGGGAGCTTAAACCCTAAACCCCTAAACCTCCAAACCCCTAAACCCTAAACCTCTAAACCCTAAACCCCTAAAGCCTTGCTCTCGCAGACGCCAAGGCTCCGCACCAGAGAACTCCGACGCACCAAACCCCCAGCAGCGCCAAGGTGCCTGCCGGAGCTGCTCGAGGCTCTGGGACCCAGAGAACCCAATACCCCTTAATTAAGGAATATACCTTAAACTATAGGGTTCCTTAAAGGGATCTATAAGGGGTCTCTATAAGGGTTCTATAAGGGAATTCAGGAATATACCTTAAACTATAGGGGCCCTAATGTTCTGATTTAAGGTATATTCCTTAATTAAGGGGTATTGGGTTCTCTGGGGAATACGAATAATATTAGATATTACTAGTGGTAACAATATTACCAATAATACTAGTAGTAGTGATAACAGTAGTAGTAGTGGTGGTGGTGGTGGTGGTAGTAGTAGTAGTAGTAGTAATGTATAACAGTCGTAGCAATCAATAAAGTATTAGTAGTAAGTAATAATTATGATACTTATGTATGAAAAAGCGCCGACATGAGTCCATACAAAGAAGAAGCGCGAGTCGCAAGCGAAAGCAGAAGAGAGAAGGGAAACAAACCAGATCGAAAGAGGGGTCTTTTTCCAGAGCGTTCCACCCGAGCTTTTGACAGGAGGTTCAAGGAGGGTGCCCACAACCACTAACTGAATCTGTACAGACATCCCTGAATTTCACAACCCAAGTCTTTCCTGCGAAGTTTCGGGGGAATTGTCTGAGCAGTCCTCAAAAGTAAGATCTGTACCAGCAGTTCCTGGTTTAGGGTTTAGGGTTTAGGGTTTGGCAAAGAAGGTTCTTGCTTTTAAGCCGCCCTTTCGGGGGACAAGCCAGGAGGCGAGCTTTTAAGGTAGATTTGTTTGAGGTTCTGACCTGGTGCTACAAGAGAACGTCAGCTTCCCTGTCACCCAGTGGCCAAGGGGGGCTCGTACCACTACTTGCAGCAGCAGCAACAGCAACAGCGCAAGGCGAGCTTTAAGCGCACATGAACTTGAGCAGGAATCGCCTTGTCGGAACGTTACCCACGGCAGATGCCCAGGTGGTGACCTGTGCATCGCAACTGCGTGCTGTCAGGACTGCAGAGCTGTCAGCCTCCAGAGCCCCTCCCTTAATAGTCTTGCACCTCTCGTGTCAGCTCGTCTCTAAAGTTTCTCTCAAGGTTAAGCTCATTTCCACGCTGAGGATCTTTCAGAGTGCTTGGACCGAATCTTCAGGGAGTGGAGGAGAAAGCCAGGAACTGCGGGCTTCCTTCTGGGGTCCCGGCCTGCTTGATGCGAGGGTTTCGGTGCTGGGTGCACCGGCCTGCGCCGATGACGACAGAGAAGGTTGCAATCGCTCGCACCTGAAGCGCTAAGCCACGAATGGACAGATCCTCTCAGGGCCTCTTCGGCAGTAACTGGCTGAAACGTCACGGGAGCCACGGCCTTGGTTTGGTCCCGACTGCATCCCGGGCTCCTACGCACCTTCCCGACTGGGGCTAAGGCACCGCTGCCGAATAAGCTATCTGGTGCTGCTTCAGCATTGCTGCCTTGACGCACGCTACTGACCCAAGACACTTTGAAGGCTTTGGAGACGAGGAGAGTTTTTTAATCGGGGCGACTGGTGAAGGAGCCAGCACTGCGCCTCCGTGAACGGGGAACTTTCAAAAGCAAAACATATGCCAGCCGCCTCGTAACAAGGATCTCGTGCCTTCGGATCCAGCAACCTCACAATCGTTCAATGGCAGCGTGTTGGAATGGGCTACTAGTAGCAAGGCGACTGCGAAAGCAAGATAAAGCAAGTAGAAGAAGCACCCTGCAGCCGGCCTCACTTGCGACGGAACCAGACCTCGGGATGACCCTGCTCTCTTTCGTTGCAATGGAACACCAGGGCCAAGTGGTTATGTGCAGGAGGGCACACACTTGACAAGAGGAGAACGACCGGATAGAGTCCTGATATCATCCCAGCGGCACTTGTCGTGCCTGATCCGCACGTGCTAGCTCCTCAAAGTTCGCAGGATGGTGGCAGCGGAAGTGCTCATCCAAGCGACGTTGATTCTTCCTTTCTATTGTGCAGCCTCATCGCCTCCAGACATTGCCTTCAGAATACTCTTCCGGGCTTTGCGGCTTTCAGGGGCTTCAACAGAGCTCCTGTTGATGCTGCTCCTCGTCTTCTGCAATGAGTCTTGCCAGGGCCTGGCTGACAACAACAGCACGAGCTAAGAAATAGTGGCATGCTTAAGTCAGTCGGCCGGCTGAGCACTGCAACTGAAGATTTTACGACTGAATCTCTGCTTCCTGTGGTTCTGTTCTCCACTCTTTGGATCCCTGCCTGCGTGTTGCTGAAGAGGGTCTCGATGCTTCCCCCCATGGTGTCCAGATCAGAGGTTAAATCGGTTTCCTCAGGCTCGTCTGTCACTGCTATAGGCGATACATTCCTGAGTAAATACGTCGATTATACACACACACACAGGCGCGCGCGCGCGCACGCACGCACGCACGCACGCACAACTCAAACATGCATGCAACTCTGGGAGTATAATCAGTGAATTGCTTGAGACTCGCGCTGGTGGCATGGTCCAGACACTCTCACCAGTATCTGGGTCATACCAATACCTAAGAATTCTTGATGCTGGCATTATGCGATAGCATGCGAGTTTCAGCTTTGCCTCCAAGATACTCCATCGTCTGGAAAGAAGCAAACCATTCCATTTTCAGCCAGACCTGTGTGTTTCCCATGTTCAGGTCTTCAGGCAACTGACGGCATCACGATCTGACACCCACTCCGGCTTTTCTACTCCGCGCCATTCCGATCTTCGCTTCCGCAGCGAGGCAACGGCAACGGCCATCACAGATGACCCTTGTACACTGTCAGACTTCTTGCAGCTTCTTGCAGCTTGGCTGACTGAAAGGCTGGCAAGGACGTTCGCCCGTCCATGAAAACACGTCGCCTCTGTCGCCTTGAGAGCTTCACAGCTTGTTGATCCAAAAAAAGTTGAAGATCCGGTGTCCCAGACCTCGAGGGCTGGACATCCTGTTGCCGCATATGCACGCTTACGTCCAACAAACCACAGCAGCAGATCACCTTGAAAGGAATCTGGCACGTCCCTTCATGCCGCTGAGGGACGAAGGCTGGGCTTTGGCTCGACCTTCGCCGCGACAATAGCTATGGCTTGTCCTGCACAGCCAGGTCTGCTCGGAACAGGGTCGGACAGTTCCTTTCTCTGCAGTGTTTTGCAGCCTCCGGTGCAGGGCCCCTGTCGATTTCAAGTTTCACGGTCGAGGCGTGTTTCCTTCCACGAGTCCTATCTGGATACCGGCAGAGAAGGAAAAAGCGGGGGCCCTGAAGTCTTTCGTGGTGTAGATGGCCTTGGACCTCAGGACCATTCTTCCGTGCGAGTCCGGGCGATCGCAGTTCTGCACAGTTCAGGTATTCTTCCCAGATTCTCGCACACAAGCGCTGGAAGACATGCTTCGGGAGCAAGCCTGAATAATGTCAAGAAGGCCTACATGAGCCCTGAAGCCACAGGTCCCAAATGCATCGCGGGCAACACCTGATTCAGTGATGTCAGGCTTGTGGCCTCCGGAGCACGGCTGACAAGCTCGAGCTCTGAGCCGGGCATCAGGGTCTTGTATGTATGTCTGCAACGCTGTTCCGTCTCTCTACCGTGAGCTGGCTTTCCTGTCGCGCAAGTTCCGAGTCGTGACTGTGCAATGACTGTCGGGAAACATGTATCCCGCCCTACTGCCGCCCCAAATCTTATAATACATGTACGTACGTGTGTGTGTATATATATATATGCACATATAGATATAGCACACCACATGACCTACCCCGACGTCTTGTCCACTGCTCATGCCGCGTGGAACGTCTTGGAGGGTAGTCCGGCTTTGCATGTTGCTTTGCCAAGACCTCAGAGCCTATCCCGAAATCCTGCACACTCATGCCCGCTGCAATACTGATATGTGCAAGAGAACGAGGCATTTAAAGAGACCGTACTAGTACGACAGCCGAAACCAAAATCCAAAACCCAAGACTTTGGGCTGCGGGTGTTCCCTACTGTGTTCAAGGTTTCTCGGCATCGCGATCACAAAGACATGACATTGAAATTCTTGGGTTTCTACAAAGAAACAGCTTGTGCGCATGTGGATTTCTGCTGAAAGATGGAAAAGCCTCGGGTTTTTGTGGATCCCTGCTTGAAAACCAAAAAACCATACGTATTACAAAGCTTTTGGACTCTTGCGGAAAAGCAAAAAACCACCAACGAAAGCCAAGGCAAAACGCCCCGAGCCGCCCCAAAGGTTTTGGATGTTTTTGATGTTTGGTGAAAGCGGCCGAAACCAGAACACCAAAAATCAGTCCCCAAAGCCATTGGGACCCCGCCCAGGCTTTGGATGTCACAATAAATCCAGTATGATGTGGGGTTTCTGCTGAAAGGTAAAACCCCTAACATAGTCGACATAGTCTACATGGTTTCGGATCTCTGCTGGCAAAACCGAAAAATCCTAAGAAATGTTTGCAATATTGCAAAACAACCAAGAAAACATGGTTTCGTTGTTGCGAAACCAAAAACATACAACAACATACCAAAAATATCCGAGCCGCCCCTAAGGTTTTGGATGTTTGGTTGTTGTTGGTGCTCTTATGTTTCCTGCTCAACACTAGACCGTAGAACGTAGAACGACAGGGACCCCAAGGATACTGCCGGCTGCAGTAGCCGCAGGAAGTTACGCTCGCAGAGACCGCATACACTGTAAACGGATGAAAGGTGTTGGCAAGCAGCGTTGAACATTCCAACCAACACAGCAACAGTAGTATAAGAACAGTTAAAACTTGTCAGCCGGAATCGATTATCACTATTTGGCAGGGAGGTTTTGAGAGGAAGAGAGGGACAGTTCCAAAACGAGGCTGCTGGTTTGATGATCTGGATTTTCATGTCTAGCATTCAGAATGTGTAGTGCTCGCCATGTATGCTGTCTGCAATGGGGTTCAGCGAAAACCAGAAGTCCTTTCCGTGATGTGCCGCCATGAAGGTTCAGGGCTCGCAGTTGGAGCTGGAACGCAAGCATAGGGGGTTGCCACTGACAGCACCAGTAGTTCGCCTCGGAGTTAATGATTAGTTAGTTCAGTTAGTTCTTTGATAGCAAGCGTCGTCGTCAACTAGTTGGCCATGAAATATCGCTTTACGGGGCAGTAGTACTACTGCTATTGGGGCCCATTCACCGTGCGTTCAATACAAGTTGGCCATGAACTATCGATTTGAGAAGTCCGAGCTGAACTGTACGGTGGAGGGCTGCCTTTGAGGGTTTAGGGTTCGGGCTCAGGGGCGGTTTTTTTCATTGGTCTGGGGGGCGGGGGGGGCGGGTCTGGCGGCCTTAGGCATCAAACAATAGAAGGCTTGTACGTCCAATGTGGCCATTTGATGTTACCGAAACGTGAAAGGAGCCTGAGGAAAACGATTGTTTTCTATTGGCTGCACAACATGTAATCAATTTTTGCCGATTCTAAGAGAAGAGGCCTTTATGTGCAGTTGTGTGAATTCGCACATAGAAAACGGATATAGGTAAAGAGGAAAGTTTCACGTGATATATGAGAAGCTGAGCCGAGGAACACTTGTACTCGGCATTTGTTGGCTGGGTGACTCATTTCTGAATTATGAACATCTTAGAAGTCAAGTATTTTGAAGGGTTCGGATGTCGAAAGTCTGGGGGAGGCTCCACGGTGGAACGGTCGAGAGCGAAGTGGACAACAGACCGGATGTCACTTCGTTGCAGGGTCCTGCGACAAGCCCAAAGTAACGGACACCGGATCCACGGTAATCTCTCGGTAGGTCCAGTAGAAGCCTCAATGTTGGCATGCACTGAGGTTGCTTGGCAATCCAAAGTGCCTGCCTTCGCACAGACAAGCCATAAAGAACACAGCCGAGCAGCTCAGAAAAGCTAGCACTTGCGCAGCGGAACAGATCCACAGCAAGTGGATGCCGATGTTGACACCGCCTGAAGTTATGGCTGGGTTTCTGGGGGAAGGCTTCTTACTGATGGGCTATTGCCTGGATCCAGGATGCCGATGATCGCCGGCCCAAGGTTGCCAGCCAAGGTGGCGATGCCCAGCATCATAGAAGTGGCTTGGCCTCCGACTCTGGGGTCGTCTATGGACTTCTCATGGCTTCGGTACACTCGTACTCGTACCCTCTTCCCTGACAAGACCACCGCTGCCTGCAACGGACTTCCGCACGGCCTTCTGCAAGAGGCCCATGGTTGGGCCGAACCAGGCCTCACCCAGCACCAGCATGGCAAAGTAGCCTCAGGTCCAAGGACACCGATGCTCTCTTGTGATGCTCTCTCTGCCTTTTTTCTCTATCTTTCCGGGTGATGTTAATGCATGCCTCGTTATTTGCTGCGTGTAGCGCTTTTTTGTCAGATCTCTTGGAGGGGAAGCATCCCTCGCTGGGGCCGGCTGATAGAAGATTCACGCTACAACTCCATGCAGCCACATTCTGTCGATAAGCTACCAAATCCAAATCATCCGCACAACAGACCTCTGCACCAGCATAAATGTGGAGATGCACACACCCTCGCTCTGAACTCTGAGCGTTCACACAACCACACACGAATACATATTATATCCACAGATGGCTTCACGTCTTTGCCATCCAATGGCACAACAGCGACGTCCGGAACCACCTCAGCTAGAGCTGTTAGTGCGCACCCTTCGACTGCCATGACTGTAGGGAGAGATACTGACACTCGGATCCATGAGGGGAGCAGAACCGATCAAATGAAGCCGCTCTTTGAGCTCTCTACAACCAAGCCGGGCTATGCCGTTGAAACCCGAAGAGTCCCTGCACCATTGGTCCAAGAGGCTGGGTGAGGAGCATGAGCGCCAGAAGCGGCAGTGAAAGTAGAGCGCCCAACATCCCCACATAGCACGGGGCGCAAACATCAACTCGACTCCAGGTCTGTCCTGGTGTGCTTTCCACGTTGCAAAGAAGATAACCGTCAGCAGTGCAGAGGTCCTAGAACACTTCCAAGGGAGACCGAGAGGAGCCCCGCCAGGGAGACAGCCAAGGCATTCCTTGGCAACCCCGATCGAAACGGAGGGGGTTTGCTGTGACACGGGGATGCCGAGGATCCAGAATGCATAGGCATCGTTCGTGTAGCCTGGCAGGGAGGACTTGGCAGCAGAGTTGTGAGGTCGGCCCTCTTCGGTTCCGAGGGACCGTGAAGGTTGCCCCGTGCGAACCAGATGGGCAAGAAGGAAGTGAGGCTGAAGGAGGCCAGCATTTTGGCGGACCTCCATGGCAAGCATTGAAGCTGCTGCAGATCGGGAGCTTCGCAAATGTCGCGACCAAGCGCCGGACACAGCCAAGATCAGCAGCTGTGGCACCCGCGACTTCTCGAACGCGGCCCACAACTGACAGGCAAAGTAAAGCTTCGATGTTTGCAGAGTCACCACAACTTGCGCTGGACGGCAGAGGTGCATGAAGGAGGGAAATGCTCGGGCATCTCTTTGTTAGGCTGTACTAGACCCGCGTTTTGTGTGTTTTTTTAATTTTTGTGTCACGGAAGCCAAGATTACTCATTAGATTGATGTCCGTATCAAGACGTCATAGCTTTCAGGGGTACCAGGCGACGCTTAAGCTTATGTAGCAGGAGTTGCTTGCGGGTCAGGGTTTCAAGTCTTTGGTCCCTCTCCAGTGCCACCCAAAGCTCGTCTGGCTCTCTCTGTAACGGACTGAGCATGACATTGACAACACTGGAGTGTTCTCAAAGCTTCCCTTGCATACATCTGTCGAGCCCAAGAGAAGGGCCTCTTCTGTCACAACTGCCATGGTGCACGGGGCCGACCACTCCGTCCGTGGGGGCTCCTCCAAGGAAGGTTTGTCACTGATCGCGAATCTACACACATTAGCGAGAATATCGTGGCGACCTCGCTTGGCCGAATGCAAGCTGCACCCGAGACAATCCTTGACAGTGGCCAACACCACGCCTGACAGAAGAATGCCCAGGCCGCCTTGGATCGACAGGCAATGGGCAAACAAAACATGTAGGCAGCGCATTCGAAACCAAAGAAGAGAAACCGCGTGCGAATGTGGACCCGCAGTGCAGGATAGCTACCGGTAAGCAGCACTATCCATCTCCAGCCCAGACCCTCCGCAAAGACGATGCCTTGACTCTTCGGAATGGCATATGGGATGCACCTTTATGCGCACTAATATGCTGCTCTCAGATGTCCAAAAAAAATGGCAAAGTCCAAGAAGCTGAAGGATGCACAGCCCACGCCGAGCTGTGGTCCTCCACACGTCGGAAGTCAGACCATCCACGAAGGCTGCAGCCAAGGCCCTGGCCAACCATCGTCAGCAAAGCCCAGGCCACGTCCCGCTGCTTCTCGTTGCCTGAAAGCTACCATTGTTACATATTGTTGCCACATTGCTACTAAACTTACATCTCAACTTTTGCATCCATCAAGCTGGCGGAGCATTCCTGAGCTGCCCGCTCGCAAAATAATCGAGGAGCAGCCTGCCAAGTCCATTCGAAGAGCTGCTGTTCTTTTGTCGTGTAGCCGTCTTTCTACAGAAGCGAGCACTTGAAGGGCTTACATAAACACCACAAGAGCAATCGAGCTCCGCGGGTGCATCCAAGCTGCGAGTTCGACGCAGCATACCCGAAGCCCTGCGCAGCATGAGAACTCTCTACCGTCGGAGCCGACCATGCACACGAAAAGTCGGTCAGAACCCCTAAACCCTAAACCTTAATTACCCTAATTCAACCCAACACCCATTCAACTCTGCCTATTTCTGAAACGGGGCTCGCCTGAGAGAGGCCTATCAAGGCTCGCCACACGAGCAGCAACCAAATCTTCTTGGCGAGCGCCTGCGACGCAGAAAGGAAACGAAGATGCTGAAATATTTGAGTATATCATAGTGAGTTATGGTAGAATACAGTATAATGCAAAATCGCTCTGAGGAATCTCAAGGCCCATTCTTGATATCTGCCGCGAGAGAGAGCCTGCATGGATGTGCAAATGGACCAGACAAAAAGGGACAGCGCCAGGATCCCACTGCGTCGATAGCGGTCCTGCACAAAGGAGTGATACGAGGTGCAAACAACCTGGACACCTAGAGCACTCCGGGCTAAGCTTCACACGCACAGGAGACCTGCTGGCAGACTTCCGGCCTTAGCAGGGCGGGGCGGAGAAGAATCAAAATGTCAGCTACATGCAGGCGTATGGGAGCAGCTGGGCATGGGTCGGCATAGACCAAGGCAAAGCCATAGCCAATTAGCAGACCGTACTGCCAATACCACAGACCTCATCATGCACGGAGCACGAAATGGCCAGACATCTTACACACTGCCAGAGATTCTCAGGAGTCGTCTGCAGTGTCTGAAGCCGAGAACAATCGAAACATAGAAGGCTAACTTCCCTCGGTCGGTCAACACCGATCAGGGTCCCGGGCAGGCGCCGTCTGCCATGTTGTAGAAGCCACTGATGGTGTCGATGTGCCGCATCTACGGGGCAGGCTGTAACAAACGACTGCTGACGATATTTCTGCGGAGAGCCTGCCTACCCCCTGCGAACGACATTCGTTGAAGAAGGCTCAACCATGTTCGCACGAACGTCCCCCAAACGGCCAGCATCGTGCTGCCCAGGAGCATCGGGCGCATCATCTGCTTGCGATTCCTCCTGTCCAGCTCTGACCGACGGATGTGGAGGTCACCCTACTGATTCTATTGTCACCTCAACCTTCCTGACTTAATTGTCTTGATTGTCATTGCTTCTTCTTTGGGGTCCACGCGTTCCAGCAATCGCTTCCCTCGGGCCTGTGCTTGAGCCGATCTTCGCCTCCAGGGTCTGTGATCCCCATCCGTCTGCAGCGCAGTGGCCGGCAGAGCCTTTCGGACCTGCGAAGACGCAAAAGGCGAGTCGAGAAAGGCCTCCTGGCGTCGAGCCCTGGACTGAAAGCTTCTTCTGCTCAATCTGCAGAACCATGGCCTCGGAAACAAGGGGCATAATATGTTCGTCACACTTTGACTCACTTGATAAACCCCAGCCATGGCCCACTCTGTGTGCTGGCCTCCTTGTCGACGGGAGGAAGTTCTGGTGTTGGTGGCTGCCGCGGCATTGCACCTGCAAGCCGCACGCAGGGTGGTGACAGCTCTTTCTTTTTCTCTCTGCCACTCGACTGGCCTTGCCATATCAAAGGCGGCATGGCCGGCTGCGATCTGCACTGGCGGCATTGCTCTTCCCTGTACAGGGCGAGTTCCATTTTGCAACGAGCCCTGCTGACGCGCTGCGCGGTGCGTGCGACACCTCGTCAGTTCGGTGGCCGGAGTGTCCGGCGTTTTCCAGAGGCAGACTGGATCTCGGCGTGGCCAGGCATGGCACAGCGGCTGTGCATCCCGAAACAACCAGTGCACAACGCGATTGCCGCATATGACCAGCACCACAGCGTCCGTTTCATGTGCACAGGCTCGCACTAGTGATTTCGATGCCTGCCAGGGATCTTCGCAACGTGGTAAACTGCAGCTGTCCGGCGCTTTGAACAACTGCCCGCGATGCTGCGACACCTGCCTTTGCAGACTTCTTGGCATTCCAGAACTGGAATGGTAATCAGGAAGCCTTAGATCGTAACAACACGCTCACTGCACAAGGCAAGTTCTCCACGAGACGCGGTTTATCCCACAAGGCATATGCCGAACACGTCTCATGAAAGCTTCATTCACGACGAGGCCCCACCATCACCACCAGTACTTCGTGCTTGCAGGAAGAATCATCATCATCAGTGTCATCATAAGTTCAGCACCGTCACGATGGTCATCACCAGCACCAGAACCTCTCAAACTCGAGAGTTTTGCTCCAGGCAGCTCGGCTGGTAGCGAGTCGCCAGATTGCTGATGCCTGGCCCAGGTACGAGCTCCGGTCTTGCAAAGCTGCCATCCGAGTTTCAAGCCATGACAGCTCGACATACCAATAGCAAAATGAATAACACCTCAAAAAAGCGGTGCAGGCATGGGGGTTCTCTGCCAATGAGATCCCTTGCACCACAATTTGGATGGCGGCTTTGAACTCCGACTGCTCAGGACTCGACGTAGGTTCGGTACCAAACCTCAGCTCTTTGGAACTTGGCTTCTGGGTCGTTCTCTAAATTAGGGTCCCTTCTTTTAAGGTCCCCAATATAGTACGGCACCCTTACTATAAAGAGGACCCTAAAAGGGACCCCCTACAATAGAAAGCTACCCTTGTCCCAAAAAGGAGAGTTCCTTCTGCGGGCCGGGCGGAGGTCTTCTCCTCAGCCTGGAGCATCTCTTAGGGTCGACGCACGACCTGCCAGAATTCTCGGGCACATTCCGATATCAGATCTCGTCAAATCCAAAGAAACACTCTTCATTGGTTCTCTAGGAAGCACCTTGTAGAAAGATGTTGAGTGCTTCTCTCCCAATTCCTTCAATGGCACTTCTCTCTGGATGCCGGTCACCCCTCCCCCTTGCCTTATTAGACCCTGGAAACCAAAATTCTGCTCCGAGCTGTTCAAAGACCCACAAACCTAATCGAAACAGACCCGAACCTCAACTGAAGCTTGAGCTCAAGCCGACAAGATCTCCTCAAGTTTCTCAACATCCGTCGCTTTGGCTCCAAGCCCTCGACTTAGCATACAACCCCTTCCGCGATAATTTTCGGCAGAAGGGATCGGCTCATGAGGAGTTCTACTTCAGCAGTGTCTAAGTCGCTTTCGCCATTTGCAGACAGGCGGGTGCTGCAGGGGACACATGGAAGGTATCCGAAACTGATGCAGCATCACTGACCGTCGTGCGGAATATGGCAAGAGGCGGATGTCGAGCCAGGCATACGTTTAATGCTGACAAAAAAACTACTCCCCGAGTGCACCCAGCCTTGAGCTCACAGTGCTGCCGCATGGCGCCAGGGATTTGGAGCCAAGCTTTGTCAGCGGCGAGAACGTGCAGGTGTTCGAACGAGCTCTCGCTGCAGAGATCTGCGACGAAAAGAAAACCAACCCCAAATTCCGAGATCTTGATCCCAGGGATTAAGGCTCCGCATAAACTCGGATCTCAAGAATAAGACTGAGTTTGCGTCGAGGGCTTGAGGCTACATCCATCCTCCAAATCCTAGGCTTCATGTGGCGGTTTTTCGAAAATAGGGGACCCTAATCTAGTACCCTAAATAGTAGGATCCTTATTACAAGAACCCCGAAAACAAGGTACCCTTAATTTTCGGAAAATCCCATGGCATGTCGGGCCGCCGACTCTGGGAGCTGCGCTGCTATCCTCGCGGGGCGCTCCGGGGCGGTGATTTTGGGCGGTTTAGGGTTTAGGGTTTAGGGTCTTGTGGGATGGTGTAGGGTTTAAGCTTTCCTTACCTACGACCTACAACTCCATGAGAGCAGGGTCTGTGAAGCGTTTGGCACCTCTCATGCTCTCGGTCGGATTCCCTTTGTTCCTGCTGTGGCTGCTCGCGGGCTCGCTGCAGCGTAGTAGACAGCTCCTGCAAGAGACTTGCAGGGAGACCTCTATCCAGAGCCACAGGGATCTCTGCACCTCTGCAACTTCGTCGAAGCGCCGCCTGGTGCATCGCACGAGCCCTTGTAGCAGAACGTGCAGACTGCAAGCACGCCTCAGTTTCGCGACTTCGTCCATCCATCTTTCGTCCTGGCATTGCCGCGCTCGGAAGCACGGTCATCATCGAGAGAAGAGTTAGAGCAGAACAGCATGCAACAGCTAGTCTGTGCGGCATGCCGTGACCAGTTGGGCGGATCGACACGTTGTCCAGCGAAAACTTGACTGGTGCACATTGAGGACAGCTTCCACGCGGGGATTTTGCCATTTCTCCAGCTGGCGAGCGAGTCCGTCCTCGGCATTGCACCATTCACGGAAAGAGCTTGCTTCATGCACGTGAGTGAAGATTGTGGAGGGTTCTTTTCAACTTATAGACGGCCGATGCCAAGATGTGTCCCTCGGCATCGAAGCGCACTTCGCCAGCCTTTTGCCTTACTTACAACCACCTCTGATGCTTTGGCTGAAGGACTCTCTGCCGGACGCTGAGCTCCGCGAGATTCATGTACATTGCCACAGGCAGCTGACTTGGAGCTGCCTCAGCCCAGGTATACAGTAAAGCATAGTATCGTAAAGTATATAATAGTAATTATAGTATACTGAAATACATTGTATTATGGCTTGCAAACCTTGTCCAGATCGGATGCAGCCATTCAAAGAGTAAGGACAGTCGGGCAGGGCATGGGACATGAGGCGGCCTCGGCCTCAGCTTCTGCACGCTGCTCTGCCGGATCCGCGGCTTCTGCCTTTCGTCGACATGTTGAAAGCTGTAACATACTATGCTACAATACACGATCATATACTATACGATCATATACTTTACGGTACGATGCTGTATGATAATGTATAATGTACTACTATATTACGTGAAAGGCGAGACCGACCCTTCCGAAAGCTGCTAGACACCCTTGAACGCCCCCGTTCAGGGGAAGGCGAAGAAGTCATGACCGGAAGCAGTAAACAACTTTGAACGCTGAGGCCAACAAGAAGCAATCGATCCCCCAAACATCATCAAATGTTTTGCCTCCCGCCTCTGAACGCTAGCAATCCAATGTTGTTAAATACACGCCTTTGGTCCGGTCCCGTGTCCCTTTCCCGAGTGAATGCAAGCCTTTGAAGAGTGATACCGATACATCTGCTCAGCGGGTTATTGGCTGCTCCGATACCCCTTGTTAAAGGGTTTTGGGGGCTCAAATACAACTTCCTAAAGGGTTTGTTGGGCCTCTATATAAAACCGCCGATACATCTTCCTAAAGGCCTTTTCTGCTGCCTCTGAGGGGATTGTGGGTGCATCCGATACACCTTACTTATCACACGGTGTTGGGTGCTCAGATACACCTTCCTCATTATGGGCGGGGTGCCCGATACACCTTTTTAGAAGGTTTTGGCCGCTCAAACACACCTTCCTAAAGGGGTCTTGGGGCATCCAATAAAGCCTGCACAGAGAGCCGTTGTCGTTCATAGGCGACTCGTTCCACCACTACTGAGTGTTGCTGCTGCTGCTGCTGCTGCTGCTGCTACTACTACTACTACTACTACTACTGCTGCGACGACGACAACGACGACGACCACTACCATTACTACTGCCGCTGCTGCAAAATTATGTTATATAATGGTGCACGCGCGATTTCCGATGCACCCAGGCACGACACACGTCGGTGGAATCATATCACACCAGAACCAGCTATTCCCCATGTAGACGCTCGATTTCACAACCGCAACTAAGCCAGCCATTCCTCATGTAGACGCCCGATTTCAGAAGCGACTTCTTAAACTGTTTCCGTGCTGTTATTTCCTCGACAAGTCCAGCATCCACGCCGACAGACAGGGGTCACAAACTGCCTTGAACGCTGAAAGGTAACGCTTTCCATTTTTTGTTCCCGGGTGTCTGGTCTTAAAAGCACTGCCCGGTTCAGACTTCCACATTTCACAGTATACTATAGGGCATCATACGAGGGTGCAAGATTGTGGTGGCCATGCTGTCGATGGAACATCTATTAACTAGCTCGCAGAGCAGGGTCTTGTCACCACAAGTTTCAAGATTGAAGAAGTCGCATCCACCATAAAGTTCACAAGTAAACGAAGCAAGCAATTCTGCGTAGCGGATCAAACCCTGCGCTCGGGCTCACTATTCTTTTATCTGTGACTCAAGGCGCCTTCGGAGTGTGCGTCTGCAAGGCTCGTGGCTTCTGGAATACCCGACATGATGGAATGCTTCACGCACAGCAACAGCATCACAAGCTTTGGGGTTTGGGGCCTTTAGTTTCACATCCATCAAGGGGTGCATCCCAAAGCTTCTGCAATCCGCTTTCAGTGCGAAAAGGCCATGCCTCATCACTAAGCGAAGAAGCTGGCTGTTGCCGAGTCTCTTCGTGCGGCAGTCTGCTGGCATACTTACACCAGGTCTTGATCCTAAGCTGCTCTGCTGACTTCGACATCACAGCAACGTCCGGTTGAGCTCGTCGACAAAGTCCAGCAGCTCCGGAACGGCGGTGGAACAAGTGGGCCCTGGCGTCGGTGACCGCCCGGGACTCGTCCTCAGAGACACCGACGACTTTGACGGTGCAGAGGCTGCAGCGTGCCGGCGCCGACGAGGAGCTCAGGGTGGAGGAAGGCCAGGAGTTCGACATTGCCACCCCGGCCAGCTCGGCCGTCCCACCTCCAAGCTCACTCGGAGATTGGGACGAGGAGAAGGAGCGATTGGAGGACTTTCAGGCGATGTTTTCGCCTCCCCAACGGGACGCTGACCTGTATACTGAGCGCCTATGCCTCTGGGTGTGCTCCGACGTGGACTGCAACTGAGCTCCTTCTTGGCTGCCGGTGTCGTGTACGATGGCCTCTGGTACACCAGGACTGAGTTCCACTCGCACATTTTGTCTGGTGTGAGCTTCGGGATCTGCTCGATAGCCCGGCAGCTTTCGCACTTCGACCATGCCCACTCCTTGTTCGCGCCATGGCTCACCTTGGTGTGTGGAGAGCTCCTGAGGATCGGGGCCAGGAACTTTGATAGGTCGGTGCAGGTCGCCATCGTCCTCCGGAAGCAAGTTCTTCGCTGGGGTGGTCTTCACGCGCTTGTTCGTGGCGAGGACCTCGCTCTCTGTCTTGTGCAACTCGAGCACCTTTCTCTCGACATGCTCCCGGCGAAGTGCCAAACGACGGGCGGCACGAACGTGGGGTTGGCGCACCATGTCCATGAAGGCAGATTGTGCCTGCACTGCAAAGACCCAAAGCCAGCACAGCACCAATCGGCGCCAACGATGCAAGCATAGCGGCAGCTTCGCTACCTTCGCTGCCCCAAACCTGTGAGCGGCCGAATGGCACATGCATCGGCACACCGAACCCTTTCTCACCATACTCAACGAGGCTCACGTCAACATGGCCGGTGCTTCTCTGAAACATGTCCTGCACGCAGCCAACTCTAGTGTGGTACACCTTCATAGCACTCATGTCAACCACGCTCCCAAGTGCTGTCAGGAAATATGCTGGGATGAGGCAAGGGACTGCTCCAGGAACGATTTGCACACGTAACAGCCCAGAGTAACCGCAGCCCCGATGGAGATGTAGGCGATTGGAGTTTTCTCCTCGGCCCCGCATACCCCACGCACCGTGCCACCACCCTCATTGGAGTGTTGCTCGCGCAGCCCGAACGTTTCTTGAAGGTATTGGTCAAGTCCCGCCAGCGTGTCCCGGCCAATGAGTTCATGTTGTGCCGCTGCGTCCACCAAAGCCCTGCCCGGAGCCTCCTGTACAGTAGCATAGTTGTAAGTTGTAGGTCAGGTAGGTTTGGTCAACGGCAGGCGGCAGAGTGGATGCATACACCACAGGCTCGCTCGAAACACTCATGTACTGCTCAACAGCAGAACTGCTCTGCGAGTGAAGGTGGCCCTCCAGCTGGTGGCTGTTGCCCGGCTGGTCGCGGCACATTTCCTTTGCGGCTTGCCCAGCTGCTTGCACTGATCCCACTTCGATCGCGCCATCAGTTCGCTAAGGGAAAGGCGAGGTCGGCCATCACGATCACCCAGTCGGCCGGTGAATCCCCGGCCATTCCTCGATTCCTGTAGGGCTCGCCGGTGGTCCAGATAGTTGCACGCCAAACGTTCCCGGCGAAGCTTTCCCAAAGCGCCGCTGTCCATGCTTGCCCTTTCCTTTGCCCTTTGGCTGTTTGCCTTTTCCTTTGCTATTCACAAAGCGGTCCTTGTTCTCATAGAAGCCCAGCCCAGGTAGTTCCCCATGTACGCGATCGCCTCGATCTCCTCCAAGGGATTACGTTCCACGTCACCATCAAACTCCGGAGCAGCTGGTACCGCGCCGGACCACCACTGATGGTCCTTTGCAGCAGAGCCACTGCGGGAGCCTTTCTTTCGTCGTCGTCTTTCACTGGAACCAAGCGAACCCTCATTCGCCATGCTCGCACCGTCACGGTGGAAATCGAACAAGTCATCTTCAAAAGCAGGCGCAGCCATCAAGTCAAGCTAAATTTGCCTAGGGCAGAGAAGATTTAACCTGCTCCGCTACCAATGAGAACTAAAAGCTGTAGCACGAGCCTGGTTCAGAAGCAAACCTCTGGCCCTACGATGCTCAAGGCTTTTTCTCTCGCGGAGTCCCTTCCCTTCGAGCCTTCAGAAGTGACATGGACAGGCTCGCGAGATCTTCATGGCTGACAAAGGCATCAAGAGCGAATCTTACCGTTTGGCACGGAGACCTTCCCAAGCCACGAAGACTGTGAGCTTCAAAGGATATGAGCAGCAGTGAGTTTTCCGTCGAGAAGGAAGGCAAAGGAAAACTTCATCCCGACTCAACTCCCAATGTGTGCCGTACATGTGATTTAGCCATTTAGCCAGCAGCAAGATTGGCCTCCTCGCGTCGTCGCGGAGCTGCACGAGGGCTTTCTCCCTTCGCCACATCCAAATGCAAGGCGAGGGATGCAGCCGAAACATCGCCGTCCTACGCTAGGCCTCCGGAGACAGCCAGCCGAACACGTCCAAATAGAGCACGCCGCGGAACTGTGCAGAATGCACGACATCACATAGCAGGGATACCCCGGCCAAGATCAGATGCAAATGCTCCGCGAATGGCTCACAGCAATGGCACGACTGTCACACGGCTTTCCATGATGCGGCCTTTCCAGGTAGTGAGACTTTGTCACCACGTCCCTCATCGCAGTGCAATGGTCGTCAAATGTCAAGAATCTGTGGCTTGCAGAGGACAGTGAGAGTTTCTGGCGCGCGAAGCCCTGCCAGATCTCAGCACCGAGCTGCGGCCAGTCTCAGGCAGCATACCATCCAAAAGAGATGCAAGACCTGCGCTGGAGCCCTGCGAACACACCGGTGCTGCGTGTGTTTGGGCAGGAGTGAGACATGCGGAAAGAGCAGAAGAAAGTGCACAATGCACCACTGTGTTCCCCTACCGCGCGTGCAAAAGCTTCTGCGCTATTCCCTGCTAGCACTTCTACTGGATTAGTTTGCTGAGGCCCTGGCAAAGATTGTCGGCACGAGAACGCGGACGAGCTGAGAGCAGGCAATCCAAAAGCAATGTGCCGCGAGAAAGAAGCACAAATACCGTGACCGCGGCCATAGACCGGTGGAGCGTTTGGGGTCTTCGTGGCAATACCCGGGCGATGCAGGAAGCTGGTGCCAACGCATGCCTTCCTCACACTGTGCTGACAATCTTCCTCTCCAGGTCCCGGCAACCTCGCCTGTTGGGCCAACTTTGAGATTACTGCCGGTGAGCACATCTCTTTCCGCCTGTTTTTACGAATTGAGTATCCCTTGGAGCGGCCTCAAAGCAGTGCGCTCACGGAGGGCGTGTCTGCATTTTGTGGGTTTTTGTTTCGGCAAGTTGTTTTGACCTTCCAGATCACTGCTTGCGAACAGCTTCCAAAGTTTCGATGCTGGCAGGCTCTTGCGACAATTGGCCGTGGAATGGTCACCCCGTGTTTCGCCACATCTCTCCAGCCACATCGCCGTGGCATGCGTTTGCATGATAACAATGATAGCTTCTTCTGCAGATTTTGCATTTGCAGAGATTCGCTGAGGCCGAGCACAGCAAGAGCGCCAGCCCACTTGAAGAGGATTTGGGTCGCCAGGCAACAAAGCGTCAGCAATGGAATACCCAGCCTCGCAGCAAGGAAGACTGTCCCGACACATCCGTGCTCCTGATTTTCAGCCCTTTTCCTGGCCGTCAACACCCAAGTGACTCAAGCGCTAGAGCGCTTTCGGACTACTTCGCAGCAAAAGCCCTGTGGAAACTGTGGCACGGACTGAAGGGCCTGGCTCCGATGGCTTTTGCGATGCATAAGCCAGAGACTAGCAGTATAGGATTTCCTCCTACGTCGGTCCTACTTGCTACAACTTGCTGTCGGCGGGGTTGCTCTCAACGTGGGAAACATGTCTGGAAGGCCAAGGCCATCATCAACATCCTCCAGCTGACAAGCACGTCCAACCTGCCCCGCAAAGAAGGGATGAGATGACACGCATGCTCTTCTCATTCTACATGGCCTCACGACGAGCCAGGACACCGAGCCGATCACCTGAGCTGAGCACGATCTCAGAGATCGCAGGCAATTCAATTGTCTTTGAGACCAGCTATTGACAGAAAGGGCATGCAAAAAGAGGACAGGGATAATCTTTGCCATACACAAAGCCTCAATGGCTGTCAATGGCTGTTGACTCGAAGGCCATGGGTGACTTGCCCCAATCCCTTCCTGAAACCTTCGCTGCCAGCAGCCCACATGTGCAAATCCAAGTCACAGCCATGCAGCACGCAGCTGCCCATCCACTGCTCGTCTCGGAAAGCAGAACACCTGCCCAAACGAACCGGGATTCCGGGGAGGCGTCTTTCTCAAAGTTCTTGCGCCCGCACCCAGGCAGTAGGCGTTGATCGACTGCAGGAGTTGGTTTGTGCCCAAGGCCATGCACCTTTCAGCTACAGTACTACAGCGCGGAGCCACCGATCTCTGCTGTTCTTCCTTAAGTCGTCTTCTGCTAGGGCTGGGGTTTCCACCACGTACAGCACTGCACGTCAGGTAGAGCCGACACTTCAAGCTCGTGCGCTCTGCTTGGTGCTGAGGACGCCGGCACGCGGCAGTACGCATCATAGGCCTTCCATGTCTGTGTTGGATTTTTGGGGTGGGGCGTTTACATAGCCCTTATGAGTACATGAAGCACTGGAGCTTCAGTAGACCAGAGCAAACACTTTCCATGCCTGCCAATTTGCTTGAAGCTCCCTGTACAATTGGATATGCCTGCCCACGGAAATTCCCAAACAGCCGTTCAATGATGTGAGCGGAGCGGTCTCAGTGCGCGGCCGCAATGCCGCCGTGTCCTCCAGCGAAGGCATGTACACCTCTCAGGGCATTGGCGGATCCGAAGTTCCGGGAGTCATCGCGTCCTAGCAAACCGCCTCCGGCAGGAAGGAGTCATCCAGGCCTGTCGTGTCCTCAACCTGGGTTTCAAACCTTAGCCGAGATGCCAACTTCAACGGCCGCGACTGTCTCCTTGCTTGACCAAGATCGCGACGACAGGTTGCCTAAGGTGGCACTGAGCTTCCTGAAAGCAGTCAGGAATCGGCAAACGCTCTGGGTTCTGCTTATTGAACTTATCACCCAGCCTGAACTGCTGCTGTAGCACCGGGATTCGAAGCATGTCGGTTAAACTGAGAGCTTCGTAGTCCTGCACGGAAAAGGAAGGCTCCCAAACAACATGCAAAGTTTGGACAGGCGGACAGCATGCGCACTTCAGAATAAATCTCTCTGGATGCTCTGATTTCGGAGTAGTGCCCACCTTGGCTTTGGCTGCGGCTCTGTGAATCTGCTGCAAGTTGGGCACCGGCAGCCGAACCTTCGTCAATGGGTCGAAGCTATGATGGGCCGCGCTACCGGGCGCAGCCGACACTTTGTCGGATTGAAGCCCGCACACTGTCGCTGATGGGGCACCCTTCTATACCCTTCTCACCACTCACTCTGCTTGCCAAGCTTGCACGCTCTATAACTTGCTGAAGCAGCCCCCTTGCCCGCACGAGGACGGCACGAACTGTGTCAGCAGCCTGACCTGTGCTTTTGGCGAAACACAATGACCACAACCCTAGATGATGCCAAGCAGCGAGGACTTGATACTACAGGCAAGGTGCGCCGAAGGAGTGTGCAGCGATCGATGCGTGCATGCCGAGCCAGATGCCTTGGTGAATTTCAAAAGTAGCACAACAGGCCTGCGATTCAGGTGTCCATTCTCAGGGCCGGGCTCAGCACGAAGTACAGGACGGCAGAACCACTGCTTGCAGCCAGAATCCTAGACATTCTGCACACGTAAGCAGGCGAAATGGCAGGTTATTCATTCAGCTTCTGACCAGTGCAACCACAAGGGAGTCGTTCGAGGTTTTGGCATTCCTTCCGTGAACAACATCACGCAGAACCTCGGCGAGAGTTTCCCAGCGAGTGACTGGACCAGGACTGGACGGCTGAGGTGAGTGGACCGTTGGCCTCTCAGTCTATTGGTTGCCATTGAGGACCCGAGCAGAAGTTGCAAGACGTTGATCACCATGTACACCTCTGCAGTGAACTAATTACGCAGAACGTCATGCTGCATATCCGCAGATGCCCATTCTGCAAAGAACAAGTAGACTTGGGCTGAATTCCATCGAGAAAGACTGCGCTCGCTCGAATCAACCCCCACGCCTCCGAGATCGCAAAAGCTCCAAAACAGGCACCACCGTGAAGACGAGCATGCCAGTAACGGCTATGGCTACGGTCCACAATGTGGAGTTAACATGCTGCTGATTGGGTTAATGATGCTAGAGACTTAAAGTTTGAGGCTTTAGCTCTGAGGGCTTTAGGGTGACAAGGCTTCGGGTCTGGGGATTCAGGAGTTCGGGTGTGGGGTCTAATTAACTTGACTATGCATTGCAGGTCTTTTGGGGTCAGGGGCGGTTCATGTCACATGCTTTCCCCCCCCGTCTTGCCCCACTTAGTTGGGTACGTCCATCTTGGACACGGTGAGATCTGTCAAGTCCTTGATGTCCTGCAGCGCTGTGCCATGAAACATGAAATCCTCGTGAAGGGCAACCAACAGCAGCCAGATCGAGTCCTCCCGGTAGAGTTCGTATTTGGACACCTTCATCTCTTGGCTGAAGTAAGCGCGTTCCCGATACTGCTCCTAGGCACAGCCAAGGCATGTTCGGCACAACACTTGGGAGCACACTAGCGCGACCCTTCAGGCCACTTGAGACACTTTGCACAGAGAGGGCAGGGAGGGAAGATGGGAGGGCAGGGAATGGGATGGTCAGCTTGGTCCACAGCCTTGTCGAACATGAAGTTCTTCCGATTGTAGTTGAGGAGCCCAGCTGGCAATGAAGTCTTCAATGCATTGCAGGTCTCTGCAGCTTCTTCACGTTCGTGTTTCACCATGTCTTCGCTAGCTAGCTTCTATCGGCCTTCAAACCCTGCTGGCCCAAAACATAAGGCAGCACCTCCAACTCCTGCTGCGAGAAACTCCATGGCGGCGACCTGCACTATGCAGTAAATGCGACAAGCTTGGAGTGGAGCCAAGCTTTGAAAGATGTTCTTTCATACGCTTTCACGCACTCTGGCACCCTGCCTTCGACCGCTGGGTGCTCGTCTGGGTCTTACTATTGCAAACAACTCTCACGACATGGCCTCGAAGGCATTATTGCATGCCATCTGTGAAGCTGCGCAGTGTCTGGGCTTTGATGAGAGCTGTGGCGTTTCCTTGTTTACATGTCTCTTCCAGGCCTCACTGGCTCTGCGACCGGCCTTTAGCTGCAAGCCAGCAAAGGCTGCGGGCCGAAAGGAACCGGGGCGTCTTGAAGCAACCTGCGCTGGCTCCGCCTCTTGAGTCAAACGACTTGTGTTATGTCTGTGAATCTCGAGATCCGATGACCTGCCTTCATAATACACATCTGTAGCCCCAGACGACACATGACGTTCATGCACCAGGCACCACAAATCAAAGCTCAAGACCGCTCTTGTTGCACGGCTGCGATCTTCGCGCGCCGAACGTCCATGATCTCTCATGTACAAGCTTCTCCGACAACTGGTGAGCGTCAAGCTGCTGTTCTTGTGGGTGATGGACACCAGTTTTCAGAGTTGCTATGGCTGGGTACACTAACCTAGGAGGCTGGCGACAGTGTTTGTCACCAGATACCTGCCTGCGCAGGACATACGATCCACCCTGCAGTGAGTCAAGCGCCCGTTGAGAACAACCAGCAACTCCCTGCAGGACTCGTGAAGAAGCTAAGCCACGTCATCGACAAGTTCTGCCAGGTCTTGCCGAGTACGGCTCTGTCCCTTCGACCCGCACTGTGAACCGAATGCTCGCACCAGTCTGTAAGCACAGAGCCTCACAGCGTGTGATCTTGTCTGTAACCAACCGCAACCAAGCTATGAACTTTCGATGTTGTTTGCAAGCCTCGTGGCAACGAATCTCACCAAGAGCTGAGCCCAATAACTGCCGATGCTTCATGCAACATCGCAAGAGCAAAGGCTGAAGGCTGACATACATGCTTGGACACAGGCCACTCTCAGTGAGACATGCCAGGTTTCGGCTAGTCAACAAAAAATTACATGATGGCTTCAGCTCAAAGCCGGAGCCGGTAACTGTCATCGGAGGTCTTCTTAAGCTCGTCCCCACTCAGTCGTCCAGCTGCAGGAGACAGGCAACGCCACGCTTTGCCCAGTACTTCTCTGTGTGCTGCTTCGTTATCCTCACTTCAGACCCGAGAAATGTGAGCAGCCGCACTGCAAGACTTGGCCACTAGGCCCCTAGGCCCTCGGAGATCCCAGGAACTTGCGGCCAAGCGCAGGAAAGAGATGCGACCCAGACTCGGAAGAAGGAGCGTCATCACAAAGTTCGTGCTGTGGCCGGTGGTGGTTAGCGTACCTTTGCGGCCTGACCTGAGAAGCTCACAGCAGAGGCTCGCTCTGCCTTTACATTCAGTTATTGTTATTATTATAGTATGATTATTATTAATACTATTACTACTATGATTATGATTATTAGTATTATTATTATTATTCGTCTGTGGACCACGACAAACGCCACACACAAACAACTCGGCCTCTGACGTTTTGTAAAGTGGCGAAGGATAGACCATCCGGCGGTCTGTAGGGTCCTGCAGCCGGACTGCGACGTGCGCAGCCTCAGAACCTATACGGTTCAAACTTCACTTTCAGCCTTCGACGTCTCACATGGTGTGAGGTGAATGGTCGGTAGTCCACCTGCAGACACATTGCGTGGCCGCTTAAGGATGCTCTCTGTGTCTGGCTATGGCAGCTCGACGAATGCATTGTGACAGCAGCGCTGGCAGGGACGTCATCACTGACATGTTGAATGCCAGAGGATGCGTAAAGTCGCGCTATCTCAAGCCAGGGAACTGAACAACACCTTCGGAAGGCTCTCCGCTATCACGCTGTCGTCGTCATCCCAACCTGTCAACTCGCTCAGCTACGACTTATAAGCTCTGCGGGTCAGGGTCTTGACGGGGTGGTAGGCTCGCGTGGTGAAACCGCCGTCCGCCGAAAAAAGCCCAGGTCCATGAAATGACGCCCTCCAAGGTCAGAGGTGTAGGGCGTCTGGGCCTCCATAGGCCCAAGGCGAACAGGGGGTGCCATGGGGTGCAGCGTAGGAGCGCGCGCCGTCCACGAAGATGCCGTAGGCCAAGCAGCCCGAAGCCGGTCGACTGAGCTCTGCCGAATGCTTCAGCACCTTGAAGTTCCAGATCAACCTGGGAAGCAAGCACACCCTCAAAATTTAGAAACCAAAAACCAATTTTAGAAACCAAAAACCCCAATACACCCTAGATTTCAATCATTGAGCAGCTGCGGCAGAACTCAGGATAAACAGATTCAAGTTCCTCACCTGGGCCTCCTCGCTCCAATGATGAATCCTTAGAACCCAAACCCCGAGCCAAGCTGGGGGGCGTGTCGATGGGCAGCTTCAGAGTCCGGGCATAGTTTTGCAGCTGGCCCGTCAGAAAGGACTGAGTAAAGTAGAAGCCTGGACATCTGGGCGGTGCGGAAAGTCTCTGACAGAAGCCTACGAAAGCTTTGGAGCACAGCTGAGCGGCTGCCAACTTGAGAAGGATGCGCGGAGGAGTACAACAAAATTGTTAAAAATCACCGAAGACCCTGAAGTCTGAAGATTTCGCGAAAACCGTGCCCCAAGCTCAAGACTCTGATAAGCCCGAAATTTTCGACCTGATATCCGAAAAATGGTGGTCGTCATAGTGATAACGATCACGGAGAACACAGTAAATACCAAACTCGCTCCCGTCCCACCCGCCAAACGAGTTTGTCAAGCGCCGGGTGGCTAGCCTTTGTGACTTACTGATTGCACGTTACGACCCCACGGATTCGGGCTTTAGGCTGTCGCGCAGCACTAAACACTATCATGGCAAGTCCTGTACTCCTGCCCGGCCTGACAACCAGAATGCTTCAGGAATGCCTTCGTCAATCCATTTCTGGAAGAACTCGATTCCTGAGGGAATCGGCTTCTTGCATCACGGGTCGCCGTGGAGCTGCTATGCTGACATGGTGCTGGCGCAAAGGTCCGCGACGTAGGACACCATGGGCTTCAGGGAAGGGTACGACACTTCGATCCAAACCTTGGAGTCTGTCGCATAATTTCACAGGTTCCTACGAATATATCCCGCCCTCTGGTGAAGTAGTCTGACTACTACTTCACATCCACAGTTTGACTTCTCACCATCGGAACTCACCCCCTGAAGTGGCTAAATGCGAAGGGTTGCCTGGTCATCAACACCTCTGCCTTCTGTTGCTCTCTCCGGAGGTGTATCCTTGTCCGTACGCCTTACCGGTCACAGCCATTGAGAAGCTTTCTCGCTGAAACCTCCCTTCAAGCCCCAGAGCCTCGCTGAAGCTGGAGTATTCATGTCCGGGATCCGTAAACCCTAAACCCTGAGCACCCCAAACCCTTACTGTCAGTATTACCCCTAAACTAACTCTAAACCTCAAAACCCCAAACCGGGAACCTTACTGGTAATTCCTAACCCTGAACCCGACAACGGGGAGCCGATGGAGTGCGATCCGTCAGGATCCCGTCCGCCAACATCTCGAGCTCAGCGCTCATCACCACCAAGCCTTAAGGTTTAGGGTTTAGGG